CGGGGGGCAGGGGCACAGTTTGAGCAGGAAGACTTTCCTTAAGAAAAAACAAGGTGCGAGCCCCGGGGGTGGCACTTCAATCGAAAAAAATCAATGTGCACCGGTGGGGGGGATCAACAATAATTATTCTTCAAGAATGAGAGTTCAACAACAACAACAACAACAACAATCATTTTACCCGAACGCTCAGTGTTCTCCCCAGTGCCAGGGTTTTCATGCGACGCCAGCCAATACCCCCACTTCGTGGGGGGCAATGCAAGCTCTACCAAACATCCACACGACTCTCGGGAACCACCCACACCCAGCTTCCCGCCCTATGACGTCAGGACACTTCACTTCGAGGCGCGCGGACGATCGTGGATACTACACTGGCGTGGAGTACACACCCGCAGAGGTTAATCACTTGTTTGGGCCCCGCATGTGCCCCGCATCGTGCATTTGTTGCGCATGATATGAGAGAAAGACAGAGAGAGAGAGAGAGCAAGACAGAGAGACAGAGAGAGAGAGAGAGAGAGAGCAAGACAGAGAGCCAGAGGAGAGCTACGGTGCGATTCGTGTGATTTTATGATGCGCGGTGCTAAAATTCTTAAAAAACCCAATGGTTTTTGGAGATTTCGGCGTGCGCGCGCGAAGAAAAAACGAATGTGTCCCGCATGGTATTATTTGACAGGGATGATGGCCCTGGCAGGTGCGCAAACGTTGTCGCTGAAGTTCGAAAAAGTTGCTCGCAAAAGCCCGTTTGACAGAATTGTTTAAAAAGTGTTGGTTTTCCTACGAATCCGCAAGAGCGCGCGGAAGGACATTTTGACAATTTTTTCTTAAAAAAACCATTGGGTTTTTGATGTTTTTATGTTAAAATCGCTACGAAACCTAAGGTTTTGGAAGGATTTCGTCTTGCGCGCACGAATGTCCACATTACCTTATTTTTTGCAAGGGATTCTTGCAATTTGATCAAGTAAGAACAAGAATTTTCATTTTATAGTGTTTTTTGCAAGGGAAAACGGAGTACAACAAAACAACCGGATCCGGACACAATCGTTTTGCCTGAGACTTCCTCACGAAAATGATGAAAATGTGGCTGCGGCCTAGGCGCGGCGAGGGGGCCGCGCACCAGGGGTCCCAACAATAATTATTCTTTAGAAGTAATAATGTTCAACAATTACTAGCACGTGGGGACACTCCGTTCTCACCAGTGCCAGGGTTTTCATAGGAGGCGGGCAATACCCCCCACTTTGTGGGGGGGCCGGTTCAAGCTCTACCAAATTTCCAAACGACTCTTCGCCACCACCCACACCCAGCTTCCCGCCCTATGACGTTCGGACACTTCACTTCGTGGCATGCGGACGACCGTGGCTACTATACAGGGCCCCGCGGCCGACGACGACGGCGTGCGCGCGCGAAGAAAAACGAATGTGTCCCGCATGGTATTATTTGACAGGGATGATGGCCCTGGCAGGTGCGCAACCGTTGTTGCAGAAGTTCGAAAAAGTTGCTCGCAAAAGCCCGTTTGACAGAAATGTTTAAAAAGTGTTGGGTTTCCTACGAATCCGCAAGAGCGCGCGGGATAGAATTTTCACAACTTTTTTTTGAACAACCTTTGGGTTTTTGATGTTTTTATGTTAGAATCGCTACGAAAACTAAGGTTTTGGAAGGATTTCGTCTTGCGCGCGCGAGTGTGCACTTCGTGCCGTTTTTTGCAATGGATTCCTGAAGTTTGGTTATGTTAGAACAAGAAATGTCATTTTAAATATTGTTTTTCAGACTCAAAGAAAAGTCGGGCGACATCGAAACAACCGATCAGATTACATGTCGTTTGCCTGAGACTTCCTCACGAAAATGATGAAAACGTGGCTGCGGCCTAGGCGCGGCGAGGGGGTCGTGCACCAGGTGTCCCAACAATAATTATTCTTTAGAAAATAAATAATATTTCAACAACAACGAACAACAACAACAACAACAACAACAACAACAACCATTTTACCCGAACGCTCAGTGTTCTCACCAGTGCCAGGGTTTTCATGCGACGCGAGACAATACCCCCACTTCGTGGGGGGGCAGTTCAAGCTCTACCAAATATCCAAACGACTCTTCGCGACCACCCAAACCCAGCTTCCCGCCCTATGACGTTGGGACACTTCACTTCGTGGCGTGCGGACGACCCTGGCTACTACACTGGCGTGGGGTACACACCCACAGAGGTTGATCACATCTGTTACATATGATGTGGTACACGGTACACGTGAGATGGTACGCAGTGCCAAGATAGTTGGTCACATTTTTGGGGCAAATTCGTGGGGATGCGATTACAGAAGTACATGTGTTACACTGATGTTATACAGTCCCAAGGATGACGCTTGCATTGCTCATAGACTCATGGCGCTATGATCCTAACTCTCAGTGCCCAACGCGCGCGTGCACAGCCAGACGGAGGGAGAGAAACACATGTATACAAGGTTCGTGACATGCGCACGGTCCACCATTTTGTAAACGATCGCATGCA